ACAGCATACTATAGTTCAGTATCACACACTTTAATTTATTTTGTTATTTAGGCAGCGGAACTTTGTTTTGTAAATCACTGACTCATTACGTTGTTCCTGATTGCCTGGTAAGTTGAGTTTGTTTACCGCACTTTGACCGATCTTGGCCCAAGGGGTCCGTGTGTCATTCGTCCGTTCAATTTTTTTTTTTTAATTAAAAATTGAAAACTGACGTCAATTCTTTGATTATCGTTATTTTTTATCAGAAAAAATGCGAAAGTGCCAATCGAAAATTTTTCACTTTTTTCCTTTTAATAGAATATTGAAACGCAACTTATATTTTTAATTTAATCCTGTCAACAATAAAGAGAAAAATGAAACAGCGGCAATTATGCTTTTCCGACAATGTTTCAGTCTGTGGCATGGTATAGTTTTTGTGTTTTCAGTGGCAGTATAAAAAATGAAAATTGATTGCAATTTTCAATTTTTGTTTTTCAGCCAAAACACTCAAAATAGTTGACAGAACTACCCAAGAGGTAGGGGGAGGGGTCCATTCACACGGTAATTTTTGCGCCCAGCACCCTCTCCCCATGGTCAGGTCCGCTTCCTTGCTTAAAGGGATGGGAATGAAGTGAGAGTTTAGCTGTCTCTTCATGGTCTTTCATGACGTTTTGGAGTGTCTTCCTCAGTCCTGTCCATTACAGCAAGCAGCCAGTCTTTGGACGTTAGCTAAGAAGTTAAAAAGATCTTAGACTTTGTATTGGAACATATTGGTGTGGGTAATGAAGCCATATCAACTTTTTCACCGTACTGTAAAACATGGTTGGAAGAAAGGTGACTGAGAGGGAGTTTCTGATACCACCCCCTCCCTTATGGCCTGCCTGGAGTCTGCGAAGGAAGTAAAAGTTTCGCGCTCTTTTGGACTGTCTGTTTGCCAACATCATGGCAAGCAATAAAACCTTTGATTTGACGAGGGAGGGAAAAGTGCTTAAATTACAAATAGCAGTGGGGGATATAAAAGTTTCAAGGCTTTCCCAAGCTTTTCAGGCAAGTACACATTGTATCTACATTTGGAGTCTTAATTGCAAAATCGCCTGATGACATGACTGCAACAATGCAAAATTAAATAATCTTAAACAAAATTTAGATCGTGTTTAACTGTGGTTACCCTGCAAACAGTTGTGTTGGGGGTGAGATCTTCAACACTGAAAAGAGCAAATGAGAAAAATTGTATTTCTCTGGTGGAAACAAAATTGTTGTACTTAAGGGATGAGTTTGGAGACATGATGTACTGGCTGACTGACTTAGGATGATTTAATGTCTTGCATTGGCTCTCTTACTGGCTCTCAAGCAAGTTCTTCAAGGACACCACTTTTCGGTAATGCAAGACAAAAAGGTGGCGCTCTTGCGAAGATTATTCATGCAGAAATAACACACAAGAATGTGAAGGGACCTCCTATATTCCAAGAACTAGTGGCAGATACATTTTGGAAGAAACCGCTCATGTAATTTACGTTCAGTCCAAGGCAAGAGATACATTCAACAATTCACCTCTAGTGTTTGTGATCATGCTTGAACAAACACTGAAAACTGATTGAGCTGTTCACTATGTTTTTGTAGAAAGGGAATTTCTGCAAGAAAACATGTTGACCAAAATAAAGATTCTGATGCTGTTACATACACATTCAGTGTTTAATTCCTTTCAGTACTGTTAATAAATCATGTTGAGTGTTAAAGGCGTGTGCTGACTGCTCATTTATTATTGACAGCTGGGAAAAAAATGAGCCTTAACAAAAGCCTAAATTCACGCTAAAAGCTGTAAAAGTATTTTGAACTCTGAAGGGGGCTCATACAGACGGCTATACAAACAAGGAAGTGAAGGTAAAAAAAAGAAGAAAATAGTGAACAACAAGCACTTAAGTCTAATAAACTTATTTTACTTTTATTTTTGGCCAAAAAAACAAAAATTGAAAATTGATTGTAATTTTCAATTTTTCCAAGCCATGCCACAGACTGCAACATGGTCGGAAAAGCAAAATTGCCACTCAGTTTAATTTTTCTCTTTATTGTTGACAGGATTAAAGTAAATATATGTTATGTTTCAATATTCTATCAAAAGGAAAAAAAAGTAAAAAATTGGGCACTCTTGTATTTTTTATGATAAAAAGTAATGAAAATCAAAAATTGATATATTTTCAATTTTGATTTTAAACGAAAATTGAATGGATGAATGACACAGACCCTATGGCCTATTAGACTTGTGCAAAGTAAACCTTTCAGCAATATTTCCTTATAACACTATACTTCATTGTGCAAACAGTTCTTTGACAAAAAAAATAATGGTGAAAGCAATAGATTGCATTTGAAACCAAGGCTTTGTAGCAGTTTGTAGCTGACTGTAGTATGGAGTTACACCTTTCAAACCTGTAGCCAGCTTAGCCAGAAAATTACTTGTGGTGGTCTAAGTATTATGCCCTTACATATCACATGAACCTTCTGAAGTGATTTTTTTCTTGAGGATAAAAATTTTTTCCTGAGGGTCATCCATCAAAGGAGATTCTCCAGTGTGAAATGGATGGTAAGAAAGAAAAAAATCACAAATGCTCTGCAAATGGCCATGCTCTGTGAACAGGCACTGGGCATTTGATGAGGTTTGATTTGGAGTTCAAACTGATATCCCTAGATCCTCAGGGATTTTAGTTTGCAAGAATGTACTAATAGTTAATTACAAGCACTGATGTGATGGTTGGACAGTGAAGGCATTCAAGTTTTGAATTTAAAATAAAATGAAAAATTAATGGTTGTGTCAGGACAAGAACAACACACAATTAAGCCAAACTATGTGGTTAATTGCCTTGAACTGATTCTTTGGTGTTTTATTTCAGGTTTCAAGGCTGTTTCTTGAAATACTTGAGAGTGCAGAACTACAAGGAGTAATTTTCTTTGAAACAGTGGTTAATTATGTAAGCACAGAACACCTTTTTGTGTATTTTTCAGAATGTAGATCTATGGATATTTTATAGCAGATAGATGTTTAATTTTCAAAATCAATGCTTAAAGGTATAATAAAACATCTCACATAAGAACAAGCAAGAACAAGCAAGTACAACATTTGTTGATATGCCTTCTTTTTAACATATTTTATTGTCTTATCATGAGTGAAATATGTCATTTTTAGCTTGCTAACTTTATAGCACCAAGCTAAAAAGGCCAAGAACACATTTACTTTTAGTTATGAGTGGATATTCCTTTACCAGATAAGTCAATCAATGCACTTGTACATGAAGCACTTCTGTAAATGTTTTCATAGGTCCAGCATCAAGGAGGGAGAAAACTTCAATCTCAATTAAAAGATATTGTGAACAATAACAGGCAACAGAGCATCATATTCAGTAATGAGTTCTGTGATGGGGCTTATGT